CAACCACGACCACGACCACAACGACAACCACAACAACAACAACAACAACAAGAACAAAAACAACCGGCGCCGCCGTCGCCGCCACTGCCACCGCCACCGCCACCACACCACCACCACCACCACGACCACCACCACCAGAACAGCGCAACCGTAACCCAATCCACAGCCACAACGGCAACGATGGCAACAGTAGCAGCAGCAACGAACTTAAGAGCACATATACATACACATTTACACACATACACGGCTAGGAACCCACACGCACTCACATGCAAAATCACACACCCGGACACGCGCAGACACGCTGCTGGCACACAGCCGCGCACACATCTACACACGTACACGCATACGCACAATCCTTCCTGCGCCTTGGCTGTAATTTCCAATCAGGGTCATGGTGCCCAACATTCCATTTTGAGAAGCGCGGCCGCAGAACCAGGCTGATGTCCCATGATTGCGCCAGGTGGACGCGCGAAGCCTTCCCACGCGGTGAGAACTACCGGCAAGCTTTTCTCAGCCGCTTGGACACTGCACGCGTCAGGAAAGGGCGCTGGGCGCTTGGTGCAAGGCTCGTTTTTGTTTCTTGCCAACACGCATGCCAATGGCAGGCTACACGCTTCAGGCCAATGTCTACTGTAGTTTAATTAGTGCCATTCATCCCAAGCATAAGCATATATAAGCGAGAGGTGGAGAAGTTGTCCGTTCTCTTCAACACTTTGCCTTGTCGTGTTGTCATTTTGGTTGACCAGCACTCGTTTTTGGATTGTGTTTGGCTTAGGGGAGAGCAAAGGCTGTTTTGGCAATTGCAAGGGGCCAAGGGTTTTGCTGTTTAGGATCCATTTGGTTGTTTGTTTGTTTTTTTCTGCAGATTTGGAACTAGCATTAGGATACCCACAGAACTTTGGCAATGCGTGTATGGCTAAGAGTTGAGCGAAAACCCGGAAACATGGTGGCCTATGTAAAGGATGCATGCCAAAGGTTCCATTCTCCGTTAAATTCATGCCCATATAAAAAGCCTGGAAACAGGGCTTTTATGACCGCACCGGATAGCTGTGAACATGAGGACGCGGAGTTCTCCAACCAGTTCCTTTCCCGTGGCTGAGTGTCTAACTCTTTGCATAGTTGCGGTGTTTTCTCTCCCAGATGGACACGCGACCAAAACAATGTGCGCAATGAAGCTGGTAAAATCTCTACATTTCGACCAGCAGGTGTTTGGGCATTCCTTTGTGGAGGTCAGATGGTTTCAGTTGCAAATCGAAAGAAGCGGTGTCCTTTTCAGAAACTACAGCGAGTTTGTGCCCCTCTACTTTTGCCCGACCAAATTTGCGAGCCTTTGAAGTGACTTTCATCAGCAGACTCGTACCCTCTCTGGTGGCTGCCACTGTCAGCCCAGGATTTGCCGTTTTGGCTGGCTGCAAAAAGAAGACTGGATCCCGGCCTGGATCCCGTCAGTGCGAAATTACTCGGTGGCCCTTATTTTTGTTTCGCTTCTTAGGTGATCCCGCTATGTTCCCACTGGACTTCTGCTTCGGCGTACGGCACCTGCGCGGTGCGGGCGCGCTCGATAGGCGTTGGGCTGAAGTCAGTCTGGGCCTGGATAAATTGCGATTGCCGGTCGCCAACAGAAGCTAAGATCTCTAACATGTTTTTGTTTCCAGGGCTCAAGAGTCCCTAAATTAGAAAACAACAAGTAGTCAAGGTCTTCAAACGTCACGTTGAAGGACGACAGCTGAGGTAGGGTCCTATGTTGGGACCAGGGTTGTCCCTTCAAGATTGTGGAAGCAAACATCGGGCAAAGGTATGCCAAACACTCCAAGAAACGGGCAAAGGGAGCATGTTCTTTGCGAACCTTTTTGCTGCCATGTTTTTGCGCTCTTAATACTGGCACTCCGTACGATGCGCAAAGCGTTCTCAAAGGCAATCCAAACAGGGAAGTTATTTTGCACACCCCTTGTGTGACACACGGTTCTTGTGTGTTGGCACGCCGGTCAAAGCCCTATCTTGCGATTTCAGCTTCTCATAGAGCTCGATTTCAGTGTCGACCGATGTTGACACAAATTGAAATGCCGCGAGCGAATAGATGGAGCGGGATGGATGGAATCTGTTTCCCGTGCTGGACCTCTCGAGTCTCAGAATGATCCCTTTTGGTCTGACTTGAACCTTAGAAATGGGTCCCAAGTTTCTCACTCGGCGCTTAGCCAACAAGGAAGGTACCCTATAACCTCAAAAGCACATGTGTTTGCTATGGGGGAGAGATTCGCCCAAAGCTCCAGAGGATTAGTTCTTGTTGGTGTTTGTGTGATGTTCGGTGTGCTGGACTCTTGATCGAGGGAACGGAGCAGATGACTGCTTGACCGATCGGTCACAGCCAATTCGCCATGCGATCCTTGTTCCATGTACACAATGTACAGGTCCGCTCGTCAGCCGGCAGTCAACTGGTACACCCAAAAGGGGTCCAATGCGAAGATGCGAGATGCCAGGCGCAAAGAAGAGACTCTTTCACGCCCGCTGCGAATCAGGCTTTTGGATTGAACACCACTTTAAGCGACTTTCCCGGCCTGAGTGAGGGAATCATGGGGGAGAACGATCAAACTAAACGCTCCACACAATTCTTGCAACATGTTTTTGAACTTTGAGATGGCGACCAACGTTTTGCGTGAGTCCAATGCCAGGTTCTGAGATCTGCAGATTGCGGCGGCAGATGCGAAGCGCGTGATAGCCTGCAGAGTTGGCAAACTGACAAAACTGTTGGCCAGGAAACTCAACATTTTAGTCATTTCAGCCAAGGCCCGACCAGTGCTTTTTTTTCTTGGCCAGGAAATTGGGATGTTGGGATTGAAGCTGTGCCATGGTCAGTGGGGCAATGGACAAAATCAAAGAAGCAATAGCACACAGCTGCAAGGTATTGTTGAAGAGGCCGGTCCCTGATTGTTTTCCTCCAAACAACATTCAAACAGGGATCTCTAAGCCCAACTCTGGCACGCACACACACACAGACACACACACACACACACCACATTGCAAGCTCGTCCATTCGTGGTCTGCGGGCTGTTGATCCTCGTAGTTCACAAATATGTCCCAGTTTGGGGATCCATCCACTGCCACTTGCAGCAAGCAGCAACACGTCCGGAGACGCTGGGGAAGATGTTTGTCCCGGCTTTATTGGTAAGTTCCATGTCAGTGGGAGGCTAGCCGGGTAGCCCATCATATATGACTTGACTGAAAGGGTACCCTTATTCTAACCTCTCTACTGGAGGACCTTGTTACTGTTTGGCAAATGGGGGACGTTCAAAGACCGCCATGGCACCGTGCAAATTTCCGGGCAGTGACTGCCCAAGTTTTAAGAAGTCTTTCAGGTCGCGAGGAGCCCTGGCTGACACTTACTACCCTGGAACCTGGGGGTGAGGCTCCTTAGCGTGGCACCTGGCGGCCTGAAGCCCGAGAACTCCTTTAGGACCGACCTCGACGTTGGATGCCAAGGCAACGTTCTGACCCTGTGCCGAAAGCGTGTGAGCCTTTGAGCCTTGTCGTTTTCTGCTTTGCTCACGAGAGTCGGGCTTCTGGCTCCCGCATGTAGCCCTTTAAACCCCTGTTCACTCTATGGATAGTTGGCTAGCTCCCCTAGTAGTGCCCTTTTACCCTTTTTGGGGGAGGGTCCCCCTACTATTAATAGACTAAAGAAAAAGGGTACCCTAGATGGGCCGGCTGTGTTGACCAAAGGCTTCCACCGATTGAGCAGTGCGCTTGTCACGTTTCACCGTCCCAACGAGGGTGGGGCCCATGCGGTTGCCTTCAAACCGGGTCCGCAGCGCGCATTTTGCAGATACGTCTGGATGAGAAAGCAGACCACTCCGAGAGTGTCGCTGCCCCTTGCTTTGGGATATCCAATGCGTAAGTGGCCAGAGGGATGGTCATGTCACAAGCCCTGTGACAGGAGGCCTGGGCCGCCTGGGGAATGCTGGGGAATGCGGCGTTCTTTTGTTACCCTTGAAGTTGGCTTTTGAGAGGCCAAACGGAAGCCACTCATTGTAAACCCGTTCTCGGAAAAAGTGAAGGATCCCCTTTAAATGGGACACCCTGCCAGAGAAATCAACCAGGGGTTTCCTGATCCTGGGGTGCAACTTTCACCCGCTGGCTGTTTTGCCACCGTTGCTTCCCGCACTCGATAGTTGATGGTCAATGAGACCAGCAATCAAAGGCTTGGTTCAAGTAGAACTTACACATTTAACCCAACATCTCTTCAGACTATCACTTCTCTCGCCAGCGAGCTAGCCCTTTGTGGCAAGTTCCTCAAAAAGGGGCACGCCAATCCTAATAAATCGCCTATCGCGCCTACCGGGGCCTAGCGCCTAGGTTACATGTCTTGGGATTTGTACCACGAAAGAAAAAAGGGGGAAACAAAAACACGGGGATTAAGGTCTGGCATTCAGGGTCACCCGACTTTGCGAAAGATGGACTCCAGGCAGCATGGACTTGACTTTCAGCTTTTCCCTTACCCCGTTTGGGTGAAAGGACCTCGGGAACCTTCAGGCTGGAGTTCACCAGCGAGGATCGACACTGTGTTCAACCCTACCTCAGTAGCTCAAGACAATCCTTTTATACTTCTCTTGACGAAGGAAAGCGCAGTCTGGTTTCGCTGGCCAACCCGCCAATCCCCAGCTTGAAGAGCCCAGTATTGCTTGATGACAATGTGAGTTTTGACCTTCAATCTGCCACTAAATGTACTTTAACGTGTCTATCTTGATGTCCAAATTGCCCACTAGCCAGCACAGAGCTCAACAATGAAAGAAGGAGCTTCTAGTTTGGACATATTCCCAGATGAGAAACGATAGGAAGTCAAGCCTTGTCAGTGAATGCTGAACTGTGGTACAAGCATCAAGACACATGCAGAATCCGTGCTAGAGATGGCTGCCAGCTAGCGTGGGATGTGCTTTCGTTTATTGGTGATTGGAATCAAATATGTTTAGTTTGTTACGGAATTTGAACCAGAAAGACTCTGGTAGGTAGCCATGTCACAATCTGTCTTTAGCCAACGGATATCCCCGAATTCCAGCTATGGCTTGCGTGGAACGGGGAAGCGCACCAATTGCATTCGCGGCTCAGACCCGGGAGTGAATCAAGCGGGCGCGGCGACCCCCCGCGCTTGCCGGCGCCTTCGAGGGTTTTGGCTTGTTGTTTTGTCGTTGTTGTTCGGTTGGCACAAAGATGGACCATGTTGCCGTGCCGGGTGTTCGACTTACTTGTCGCCTTTGATGTGTTCATACTGGCAAAGCTCCATGTGTGAGCAATCCAGCACATTGGCAACTACGTTCTAAGGATATACACAATAACCCGGATTCAGCTCTTAATTCCTTCCTACATGGCAATGATGGCCATGTAAGCATGTTTTGGCGATGTTTCAGGGAGAGAACACGGAGCCCACAGTCCTGAAACCTGAGGTCCGCCATGTTGACACTGAGCCCCTTGCGATCCTTCTGCTGCTGCTCCGTCTTTGCAGGCCTGACGGTTTTAGTTGCCATGGATCCAGCAGAAGCCGGACACTTCAATGAGTGAGTGCCAACTCGCGTCTGTCGGCCCTTAAAAGCAAACAGAAACTTTGATGCTTCCATTGGCTTACGAAAGGATATCTAGGTCTCCCAGTAGTGCCCTTTTACCCGTTTCTGGGGGGAGGGTTAGTATACTAAAATAGACTAAAGGTTTCGTGCGGACCAAAATCCAAAGACATCATTTGAGGGGAGAAACGCAGAAGTTCGAGACCTGGCACCTTACAAAGGACTCGCTGGGATCTGCCGAGAGGGTCCATTCTGCATTCTGGGCTTATTGCGAGCATACTGCCCCGAACCCTGAGCCTGAATCTTAACCTGAACCCGAAGCCTGAGCCTTAAACTTGAACCCGAGACCTAAACCTGAAACCTACACCCTGAACCCGAAACACCTACACCCTAAACCTAAGCCCTAAACGTAGACCCAAAATTTCAACCCCCCCGAAACGTAGACCCTAAACTTCAACCCCTGCCTGCTCCCTAATGGCCGCACGAGCTTCGCTGCTTAAGTATGAAAAGGGGCCACACTTGAACCGCGTGCTTCAGGGCAGGGCAGGATTTGGGGGTGACAGCAACCCACAGGGCTGTGGGTAAACCTCGGTTGGTTGCAACAGGTATATTGGATTTTAATACAGTCGAACATACTGTTTTAGGGGTCGCTAGGGTGAGTAGAGGTGTTCTAAGGCACTGCTCAAGCCGATACCTCCAGTATCCGAAGGTCCAAAACGAAACATGGCTGCTTTGATACACTCTTGCTCGCAGAAATGAGCAGCCTGGTCAACTCACTGCAGGAAAGCGGGGTTTTCTACCTCACTCCCCAGTTTTGGCCTTGGTCCCTGGTCGAACTCGCCGGTTTTGGGCCAAAAAATATCCCCGCGGGCGTTGCCCAAAACCCCGCCAGGCACGGGCCTTGTGGTGACGATCCATCTCCTCGCCTGCATCGCGCGCCCGGGAAATGGGGCGTGGGGTGAGCTGAAACTGTGGCCGCAACGGATCTGGGCTTTGGATGTGACTCGGTGTCTTCCCCCAGGGTGGAAAATTCGTGGCCACCCCGAACCCCCCCGCAGCCGCTGGTGGAAGCCTGGT